CATTAAACTTTTTAATATTCTAAAATAAAGATTTCGCAACATAATAAAGCTTATCTTTGAGATCAAGGAAAGGTAGTTTTTTGTTATGTTGATAATTGTTGTCTTCTGATCTCAATTATGTCTAGTCGGTAACAGTATAGTTTGTCGGGAATAAAGGTTCTGTAAATGGAATAATAATCAAAATATATGTTTAAAAAAATACTTATAGTAAATACCATTATAATCAAAATTGCAAATATTGGTGTTATACATCAGAAAAATGTAACAAATCTCATATCGACATCAAAATTTTACCGCTAGAACAGTTACCGATTAGACATCGTAAAAAAATACGGTAGCGTTTTTATGCAAACAAGCCTAAATATATTTTTTTAATGCATAAACAGAAAAACTTACCTGGTTTGAATGACACATAAACACTAACTCTAGCACACTAACCAACAAATGACAGGTATTACGTATCCTGGCGGATTTTAGGCGAAATTACAGTTATCGTTACCGACAGGATGCGATCAAAGCAGACAGTCTGTTACCCAAAGGCTGGATCTTTAAAACCAAATTGTTTTTAAATAAAATGTAATTTATTTAATACTTGGTGTTAGTTTCTTTAAAGTGATTTACATTTGTCCTGTTTTTAAAAATGATTTGATTGAAAAATCTAGCGTAAAATTGTAAAACGTAATAAGGGACGCGTTACCGACGAGACAAAATAGCTCTTTGTTTTTCATTTTAATCGATGTTTTTAAATCTGGGTAAATATTTAATATAAATCTCGTATAATTAACATGCAGAAATAATACTAATATGTTTTGAGACACTTCACTTCTTTTTCTAATTTTTAATTAGCCAAAGACGCCTACCTAAACATTTTTTGATTTTTACCCATATACACTTTTAAAATAATTAGTAACATCATGGATCAGTGCATTATTCGATGAGCATGCTTTTAAAGTATCGTAAAACATTTTAGAGAATTTAAGGCATATTATCAAGCTTTTAATCTAATACGCAATGTATTAAAAAACAAAATTTTTATAGAATTTTTTGAGTGACTTTTAACGCACACACAAAAAATAACCTGAATGATTTGAAATGGAATCTCCCTAATTTTAAAGTCTTCTTTTACTTATTTTTGTTTTTTACCTACTAAAATCCAAAGCAATGTATACGTAGATGCAAATTGTAATAGTTACCTTATTTAGTGGTAATATTTATTTGTCATATTTAAAAATATATAATGTTAGACTGTGCCCTCATACTTAATAAGTTCCCAATCCATAATTGTAATCATAAATTTGTATAATTGCCACATAATTTTGTACATCAAAAATGTAAATGTATGTAAATAAATCAGCCAATACTGTATATACGTACCTATAACCTAGGATTTTTTAAATTAAACCAAATAAATTATATTTTCTGTTCATTATTGTAAATGCTAAAGTATAAGCTTTGGTAGATAAATTTGTAATTTTTAGTAGGGTGAGATTATATGTTAAAAGCAACAAATTTTAAATGGGCATAATCTTATTGAACACATATAATGACAAAACCTAATTAGAATTTGATCGTTGCTATATTTACAGCGTTTATATAAAATAAATAAAAGGACAATACTTATAAATAAAGAAAAAATATTATTAAAAATATAGCGTAATCTCATTCTGATAAAACATTCTTATTTGTGTTATTTTTATTTATAAAAGCCTTTGCAATAAAATTTTATTTTTAATTCAAGTTTTATTTAGGTACCCAGAACACATAATAATTATAATATATTAAATGAACAAACATTGTCTAACAAAAGTTTTATTTTAAAATATTTGTTCTACACCCGCCCATTATCGTACATGTTTCCATGACACTAGATGACATGAAGTTATCCATAGGTTTTTAGTCACGGGCTGAAGTTAAAATAAAGTGCCCTTTTTGTAAAATAATACTAAATGTAAAAAAAAATATTATCTTAATACAAAAATACAAAAGTATTAAATATTTTCTCAACGACAATATTTAAAAAGTTTATATGAACATTGTACAGACCTTTTAATTTCGCCGGCAGTAAACTACATTAACTGAATGTGCCGTGGAGTGCCAATAAAACATTTTCTTTACTTTTACCACAGTACCTATAGGCTGTGCTTTTATTGTGAAAAACTGTTTCTATATCCGATTAAACGGTCCATGTTCAAGGGAAACATAAATTTGACATAATACATATTCCCAAGTTGGTTACTCTATTGTTTTATAGATGTCGCTCTATACACATATTTATAAATTATAATTTAAATCCTTTTAGATAATAAAAGTATGGTATACTAATCGTTTATAAACTTTTCTAGGCACTCATTTAATAAAGCACTCGCTCGTGCCTACATTAAATTCTTGTCTAAACTGGCGTTTATCAAACTAATAATATACTATTATTTACTCATACAAATTTGACATTTTCACCGGCACGCTGGTAATACAGATTCCCATTTTTACGGTTACTCTATTCTTTTATAGATGTCGCTGAATACAAATATTTAAATTAACTCATTTTTAGATAATAATAAGTATTTGTCGTAATTAATCACTCCCTCGTTCCGAAATTAAATTCGTGAATAAAATGGAGCTTTATCAAACTTGATACATAATATACTTTTATGTTTCTTAGGGGAGAGTATATTTAAAATTAAGAAAGTTAAATAAAATAAGTGTAAGTGTCTCAAAAACATTATTGATGGTTTTAGTGGCTAAAGATATAAATAAGAAAACTGTTTAATATAAAAAAATAATGCAATATAAGGAGCAAGAAAAAGTGGTAGGTATAACAGAATAAAATATTAATAAATAAATAATAAAAAATATTATCGGTGCATCTAATTTTTCCGGGAAAATTTAAAAAAGCAAGTTGACAAGTTTACTATAGTAACTAAACTATATATAGCAAAAAGGCAGAACCATTTTTTTGGTCAATTTTAATTTAATACTAAGATAATTTGTAATACTAGGAAACGACTTTTTTGACATTTCGACAAGAAAATAGTACCTACGTACATCACGAATAATTAATTAGACTGGTCAAATTTTTTTCTTAAACGTACCTATCCAGATCATTTAACAAATTGCCCGCTAAATCCAAAAATGTTATAATTTATAAAAGTGAAACTGTGTTTGAGATAAAGTCAATTCCTCATATTTTTCATAATAAAAAATTGTTTAATTATTTAAAAATATCTTCTATACTAGTAGGCCGTTAAAAATCTTTATTATAATAAATAATTTTGTATAAATACGAAATTAAAGATTTACTAATCAGATTAGTGTTTTACTAGCTATTTTGAAAATATAATTATATAAAACTATATACAATTATAAATAAATAATAATTTTATATAGGATTCTATATAATTTTATGTATAATTATAAATAATTATAAATAATGTATAATTATAAATAATTATAATGTATAATTATAAATAATTATAAATAATAATTATTGTAGTATTGTATTATATTATTTTGGAAGCTGCACAATTTGGAAAGCAGCAAAAGGTTTAAAAACCAAAATATTATTAAATTTAATAAGGCGCTATACAAATACAATAGGTATTAGTTTTTAATTTGAGTAACTAACCAAAATTTGACAAATCAACCAAAAAATATAATTATAATTTTATAATACTTTTTTGTATATTGAAAGTTACTACCAAGTTTTTTTTTAATGTTTTTGAAATTTTTGTTCATACTTTCTTAAAAAATTAATCAAATTATTAACATAGGTCTTGACATTTTTATAATATAAGAAATATAATATTTTTACCCTTAAATATTTTAATAGTATATTATGTATCAAGTTTGATAAACGCCATTTTATACACGAATTTAATTTAGGCACGAGCGAGCTTGCGAGCGAGTGCTTAAGTTAATGAGCGTATAGAAAAGTTTATAAACGAGGTGCATACTATACTTTTTCTACGAAAAATACTTATTATTATCTTAAAATGATTTAAATCAAAAATTTGTATAGAGCGCCATCTATGGAACAACAGGGGAAACTGTCAAATGTCACATTTTTACATTTTATAAACACAATTATAAAGGTTATAAATCGAAATGTATCTTGAAAATTGACAGTTTTTCACAGTGAAAGTAAAGGAAATATTTTATGAGGACTTTACAGTAGAGTCCCTGCCCGAATTTAAGTTTACAATGTTCATATAAACTTTTAAAATATTGGCGTTGAGAAACTATTTAATATTTTTGTATTTTTGTATTGAGATAATAAAATAATTTTCACATTAGTATTATTTTACCAGAAAGGCACTTTATTTTAACGATTGTATGACATTTGACAACTGTCAACTAACTTAAAACTAACTTCAGCCCGTGACTAAAAACCTTTTGCTAACTTCAGCCCGTGACTAAAGCGCCGTAAAGCCACAACTTGTCAATGTGTATTTAAAAGGTACCTTAGTGTCATGGAAACATGTATGATAAAGGGCGTTTTAAAGGTGGGAGTAGAAAAAAACCATTTTTTATGATATTTAAAGACTTTTCTAACAAACTTTTGTACATATACCACTTTTTGAGGATAGTAAAATAGGTATATTATTAAATTATTTAATTGATACCAATTTAATTGTTTAAAGAACATTGAATTTGAATCTAAAAACATTATCTTAAATAATGTAATGCAGTTTTAATTTAAATTTTATTATTATATTTTTTTCAAATTTAATTCAAATTCAAATTTTAAAATTATTGTAAAATAATTTCAATATTTATTTATTTTAAAAAGCCAATATGAACAGTAAAAAATATTAAAATAAAACTGCATTTTAGTATTTTATAAATTTTATTATAATTTATTTATTTATTTTATAATTTTTGAAACGCATTTTTATTTTAGATGGGATATCACAATAAAAAAAGATTTTTAGAGAAAAAATGGACCCAAAGCAGACTCAAGGGCCCCATTTTATTTTGCAGGGGCTCCGGCACTGATTTTATCTCTTGAAATAGGATACTCTATCTCAATGGTTTTGAGCACGGTCCGTGGTTTTGAATGTTTAAAAAAGCTTACACTATTGGCCAAAAGATGGCAGGGTGGTAGCAAAATTATTTTATCGCCATCTGTAAATATATTTGTTTGTAACGTTTGATCGATTAAATTCAAATTATGACAATCACAACAAAAGATTAATAAAGATTTAAAGGCTTAAAAATAAGACTTATTTTTAAAATGCAGCGATCTGAGAAGAAAATAGTTTCTGAAAAGGAACAAGAAAACCCGTTTTTATCGTTTGTGGAAATGGAAGATCTATTAAATAAACTAAAGGTACTGAATTATGAGGCTGAATTTTTAAGGGATCTTAAAATTAAACCCATTCATAAGTAAGAAACTATACAGTTTTTTATAATAAATTAGAGGTTGTTAATGTTATTAGGTTTTATTTTGTGGTTGCTAAAAACCCAGGAGAGCAATTTTATTTATTTTCACTTTTGGCTGCTTGGTTGGTAACAAAAAATGGAAAAATATTTGAACAACCCCAGGAATATGATGATCCCAATGTTACTATTGATAAAATTATAGCAGCAGTTAAAGAAAACGTAAATAATAAATAAACAATTTTGTATTTCTTAAGTTATTTCGAATTTTTAGGGAATGTTAGTAGACTTTCCTCCAAACAAGTTAAAACAGGGTTATGGTGAACAAGTGGTTAATATATTGGATAATTTGGCAACAAGTGCTTTAAAAAAAGAAAATTTTAAATGGGATAAGTAAGTTAATTAATACCTAAAATATTTTTTTAGACCAAAGTACTACATACTAATTTTTGTAAAACTGTGATACCTATGACTATATTTTATTATTTATTGAATATGTAGAAACATACTTTTTTTAATTACTTTCTATTTCAGGCCCAAAGAACCAGAAGAAAAAGAAGATGAATTAGATGTAATGGAAGATGAATCAGAAATTAATTTAGACAGAGTTGAGGAAGAAATGATAGCTGCGTATTCTGATGATTCAGATGAAGAAAATATTTTCAGATTGGATGATTTAAGGCCTGCTAAAAGAGAGATTAAAGCAAATGAACTTAAATCAAACATTGATGAAGGTGAATACCAAACACACATTTCTTATTAAAAATATATTTACTTAATTTTTCATTAGAATCTTGGAGAATTGAAGTGGAAAAAGTTCTCCCCCAATTAAAAGTAACAATAAGAAACGATAACAGAGACTGGAGGGCGCATTTTGATCAAATGAAAAACCTCAGAAACAACATTGAATCTTCTTTGTTACCCACAAAAACACACTTAGAAAAATTGCATAAAGAAATTGGTTCAACTTTGGAGAAAGTGGGCAGTAGGGAAAAATATTTGAATAGGGAATTAGAGGGAATTTTAGATGAATATAGGATTTTACAGGATCAATTATCGCAGGTAAAGGATAAATATAAAAATATAAGTACAGGGGTGGCCAATAGAAATAGAGAGTTAAGTAAATTGACAGATAGACTGGAAACTGTTAAACAACAAATGGAGGAACGAGGAAGTTCAATGACTGATGGAAGTAAGTAGAGTTTTTTCTTTGGTTAGGATAATAAATATCGGGCATTAAAAAAAAGCTCGTGAGATACAAAATAAAAATAATATAAATAAGGGCGTATGAAAACAAATTTAACTTAAAAAATATTTTCTGAATATGTCTGATGCCTCACAAAATCATATATTAAATTTTGAAGACATTCTATAAAAACTCTTCAAATGGATATATCCATTTGAAGAGTTTATAGAATTATAGACATAGAACAATTTTTAAATTAATTTATACTAAACAAATAATTTAGATGATACCCAAGTAAAAAAACAACTTGAGAAATAACGGTCACTCTAATATACAAATTCACAATATTTTTATTAAATCAGTAAAATCAGTTTTTAGCTGTTATATAATATAACAGCTGTTATATAATATAACTTATATTAAAATTTAATATAACGGTTTAATGGTGCAATGGTTCAAACCCAAAATATCTATGTAAATGGTGCAATGGTTCAAATCTAAAATATCTATGTTTATATAAAAGAAAATTAAATATGTGATTCTGAATTATTCAATAAGAAAAATTCTTATAAATATATTACTATAGTACTAATATAATAGTGGGTACTAATAGTGATATACCTATATGAACACGCGTTAAAGTGAAATTTTGTGTAAAATAAATGTGGATGGGCTGAAAGAAAGTCAATAGCCTTTTAAAGATTTTTTTAGTAAAAAACATGTATTATGTAATACTAATACAATATCATTATTAATATTTTTTAAGCTTAGTTTAGAAAGATACAACATTTTTACATCCTGATATTTTTTTCATTAAAGATTAGTTTAAAATAATACCTAGATGTTTTATAAAGTTGTGATAAAACATACAAAATAAAGTACTGATTTTAAAAATATAATTTAATAGAATATCTAAAATTCATCATAGATTTAAACATGTTAATTGTTAAATGTTGAAATTTTAAGATTATAATAAAATTAGGTTAATTAACCCTTAAATGCATTTTAATGCATTTTTGTACAAAATAAGTATATATTTTTTTATTTTGTACAAAATATACATGAAACGTTTTCAAATGGCTAATATAACATAGGAAACAGTAATACAGTATACAATATAATACTATACTATACTATAAGAGTTCCCAGAGCATTGCAAAATTGCTATGCTAACATGATATTAAACTTAAGTGCAAAGGCATACATTTTTTTTAACAATTGGAACCAAAGATAATACATTATATTATATTATCTTTGGTTGGAACCTGTTTTCATTTTTGATAAAATGTTATTCTTAATTATCTCCCAAAATCATGACATTATTACAATTGAGGAGCTACTTTGCAAAACGCAGTTTTTGTATAAAATAATTATTTTCAGGATGGAGAAATCTTTGTTTTTACACTCAATCAAGTTTTTGTAAAAAATAAAACCCTTAAATTTATTTAAAAAAAATTTCAAAATTTGATTCAAGTGAGTTTTACTAGCAGATATAAAATGTATAATTGTAATAACTTTTATAGACATAAAATTTGTTTTTCAGCAAATATCTGAAATCTTTATTTCTAATGTTTTTTAAGAGTTAATTTTGTGTATAAAAACAACCAGTTAAAAATTATTCAACTTCAATATATTTTTATATTTTAGCGCCCTTGGTAAATATTAAAAAATCTGTGGCAAAAATAAAATCAGAAATCACAGAAATGGACATAAGAATTGGAGTACTAGAATGTATACTTCTACAAACAAAAATAAAGGATGAAAAACAATTGGAAACTGAATTTGGACAATCCATATCAATTTTTTAGACTGCAATTTAAGACCAAAAAACTTATATTATAGATAAATTATACACCAAATAAAGTTTAATAGTTCTATTAATTTTAATAAACAACAAATTACCAAATACTAATATAATAACAATTTAATTTGGTACAAAATAAAAAATTAAAACTAACCAGACTTCACATTATTTACATTCCACCACTCTTCTGCAGCAATTGTGAAAACCTATTTGTTATCAATAAGGATACATCGATAAATCTATCCACGCAATTTGTAAGGCAGGTTTCAGTTCTACTGTCCAATTTGTTGGATGGTTTGTCTACGCATTTCTCCCAGCAAAAGTCATTGAATTCATGTATCTGTAGAAAAAACGGGTTTGGATATTTGGAAAAAATAAATGATGAATGTCAAGTGTTAATTTCTAGGTTTAATGTAGTTAACACATTTAAGGCTCAATTTCATGTAACATAAGAAACTTTTTGTTCTACTGTGTCATATTTATAATAAAAATGCTTCAATGCATGACATAACCTCACCTGAGCGTTAAATTGTGCTTTTTGTTTTTCCACCATAAGAAACTCTTGTAATTCTTTGTCGCCTCCTTTAAAACCCTCAGTCGGAAATGAATCGAAATCAGTCATATTTTATGTTTTATAAAAGATCTTTTCTTCGAATTGACTAAAAATTTTTTGACACTTTATTGATGTTCCCTACCTTATCGGCCAAGGAAATTACCAGGTTTGCCCATGATCAGTGTTGCCAGTGGTTGGAAAGATAAAGTACCAAATTCGACTTTTAAAATGTACCAAATTTCCCTGAAATGTACCACTCATTTAATGCATAGAAATAATACTAGTATTATTTCTATGTTTAAATGCAATAAACATTAAAGTTTTTGGGCTTTTCGTTTTTTCCCCAAAATTAAATATAGCGCGATGTTGCCAACAGAGGAATATGAAAATAAAACGAATAAAGATAGGTGATTTTAATAATATTGTAAGACAGGAAGCGGAATACTAGGAAATGACCGCGAAGTAATAAAAACAAAGCAGCAACTTTATTAAAAATAGGCAAAACATTGAAAATATATCAAAATTCAAAAATTTCATGGAAATGTACCAAAATAGTCCTTGCATACTATAGCACCTCTGTACCACCAAAGCACCAAACGTACCAAAAAGGTACAAATGTACCACTGCAACACTGCTTATGATATGAGGTTTGCGAACACATTATGTTGAACTGTGTTTATTATGTTCAACTTGAACATAATAAACACAAAGTAAAATGTACGGAGCCCAACCGAGAAACCATAAAGTATGCACTGATAAATAAATAAATCCTTCCTTCCTTTTACGGGAGGAAGGAAGGAAGGAAGGCAATTTATAAATCAGGCTTAAATCCTTTATACTGTGGTAATACTTCTTGCTCTACTTTACTGCATTATACATCCCTGACAAAAGAAAATCTTTGGAATGGCTGACAGAAGCTAAAAGATATCTCATCTAAATCTTTTTATGTTTATATGTTTAGAAGATGTTTTTTATATCTTTATAACTTTAAATAAATAACATACATACATACATATACAAGATATATTGTAGACCTTTTATTATGATTTTTTCCATGAAACACGCAAAACAAAACAAAATGTACTCTAGTGTAATTAGTGGAGGTTCTGCAAACAAACTTGAACTTAGGCGCAAGTCCATTTATTGGTGGAGGGATAACTTCCGGCCACATACAAACATTTGTCAACTCACCTGTCAGAACTGTCAAAGTAAAAGAAACAAAACAAGAAAATGTCAGGTTTTGGCGATAATTTTGATTCTGAAGTCGATCCAGCTGCGGAATTTTTAGCAAGAGAACAAGACGAACTTGCCGGATTAGAAGATGACGTTAAACCCGCAGCAATTAGCGTTTCTGCAGTCAACGGAGGTATTTATGCTTCTTCCAATTTTAGGGCGTATATTATATTACTGTGTTGCATGTTATAGGTATTTTGTTGTGTATATTTTGTTCTCTTTTAGCATGATTATAAGTTATTGTATAATTGTGCTTTTATTGTCCTTAATTTAAATAAACTAAGCAACAAAAATAACATACAACACAAAATTTTACAAAGTTTTTCGGTTATTTGTGTTAAATATTTAAACTGTTGATTTAAGAAAATAATATTTCATAGCTAATATGTAGGAGCATAAAATTTTTGTTCCATAATGGATTTTTAACAGTTTTGGTGGTAAGTTTAGTCCAATAGTAGTTAGTTAGAAAGATTAGGCTACACAGTACTGAAAAATAATTCATTAAAAATTGTTGCGATTTCGGGATGTTTAGGTATATCTGCTGCTTAGTTTATAAAATCATTTCTTTTGAGTTATGAACATACAATTTACACAACAATGATATGCTATCGTAGACCTATTCTTATTGAAGCCCTAATATTGACTAGTTTTTATGGAATCCTGAAACATTTTAATAAGAAGTCAATAATATTTTCTTATTACATTGTTTCTTTAAATAAATATTTAAATAAAATCTCAAACAGCTGTTCAGACTTTAGTAATAAAGTTCAAAATTTACTATAGATGATCCAACCAATACAAATTCAGCCAGCAGTTTCGAAATGGTTGAAAATAATGAACAAGATGGAATTGATGTAAAAACAGAGCCTAACGATGGTATGTCACTATTATGTATTTTAGTAAAAATATACAGAAAAAATCTCTAAAATTTTTATTTTGAACTGGGTAGGTAGTATGGCACCAATTAGGTAATAACTTAATTCATTGTAAAATCAATGCATTATGTTTTTTATTTAAACGTTTTTTTATAATTTAGTTTTTATGTACCTATTTGATTTATTATTTGCTTTTTTGTAACATATTTTTTTGTTTATTAGATTTTCTTTTTTCCACCAATGATAATGAGTTTAATGGTAAGATACTGTGTTTGTGCTGTCCCAGCTTGAAGGTTAAAATGTTTAAGTACTATTTTTGAACTATAATATAATTTTATAAATAATTTTGATTTTTTTGTAATGACTTTTATAGTTCAAAAGAATTTAATGATTACACTAATTATAAATAATTATTTTTTTAATAGATCAGTTTTTATTCTCAACAAATGAGAATATTGATTATGGTATGAGGTTTCGTTTTTTATTGTAATTTAATAATTAACTGGTTTATAATTTTGTTTTACATTTAATATAAACTCATTGAAATATATGAAAATGGCACATAAAACATAATACTGGTACTTATTGTGCCGTTTTTTGGGAAAGTTTTATAGTTTTTTGGAATTAAATTTACTTAATGTCTAATTAAATAAATATATTTTTTTAATAGATCAGTTTCTATTCTAAATGATAATATTGATTAGGGTGTTGTGTGTTTTATTGGGATTTTATTAACATAGTAAATTTTTTTTTATAAATAAAAGCTCTGAAATATAGGAGGTGGAAAAATTCTGGAAATTATATTTAAAAAAAAATTCAAAATTGTTGGAAACACAACAGGTTGTTCAAGGGTGGTGGGGACAGTATTTTATATTATAATTTTTTTACCTTCTTTATTCTTTTTTAAAAATCATTTTGGCAAAGTGTTGGGTGTTTTTCTTATTTTGAAGATAATATTTCAAATGTTGCTTTATAAAACAATTAAATTAACAAAACAAAGCAGAATCTGAAAAAAAATCAATTGTTTTAAATAGTGAGATATAAAATTGAATCAAACATATTTTGAATAAAATAAAAAAAACAGTACAATAGATGTTCTATCTGGGTTTATTTTATATTGCACAAGAGCTTTTATTTAATATTTAAATAAAAATTTATTTTATTTGTGTTTTTCATGTTTTTGTTTTGCTTTTGCTTTTAGTGTTGTTTTTTATTTTGTTTAGAATGAGCATGTTTATTTTTATTTATTTTGTAGATTTTCAACAGATAAATAAAGACATTAATGATGCTATTTATGATAGAGGTAAGATTAAAACAACAGTTAAAAATATAAAACTTTAATATTGTATCATAATAAATATCAGTAAATATTAGAAAGTAACATAGAGAATATATAAATAAAATATCATATAAATATTATAAGTACGTGCAGTTTTTCTTGACATAGTGACTTTTGTAGCTACTCCATCTCCTCCAAGAAACGAAGCCAGAGAAGAACCAGAGAAAATTAAAAAATGGCGTGAGGAGCAGGTGAAACGCCTTGAAGAAAAAGGTATAAAACATCTTTTTCTTAATTTACTCCTAAAGGCACAAATCCATTTTGAATACAAGTTGATTCACCTAAAAAATATGTACTTTATTTTAGACAAGGAAGAGGAAAAGAAAAAACTTGAATTAAGAGAAGTTGCTAAGAAGGAATTGGAAGATTGGTATAAAAATCACGCTGATACTATCGAAAAAACAAAAGCGGCCAATAGGTAAGTTTTTTAACTGTTACTAAATTGTGGTTTTAATTGTAAATATGTATTTTTTTGTTAATGCTAACTAAGGGATGCTGCCAAGTAAGTTTATTATAAATGTGTAGTGATTTAGTTTTCATTTTCGTCGAATAACATGCACGTTTTTGTCACACATTTCACTTATTTCTTTTTTAAACTGAGAATCAAAACTTAAAAATAACGCTTTGCTTTCTTGTCATATGTTTAAAAATACATTTTTGTAATATAAAAGATATTTTATCATACAGTAAATTTGGGGATATAACTTTAAACACTAAAAGTCAGTGTTTAATTTTATATAACTAAATAGACTTTTTAGAAGGGGTTTGGTTAAAAAGAAAAAAGTATTTGAACAAAAAGTTTGACTATATCTATATTTTTTGTTAATTTTATGTTTTTATAGTTTAAAAAATACCGAAATAAATAAATAATAGTTAAAAATCACAAAGCAATGGTCAAAAAATGTCCATGTATTACTTTAAATTTTTTTAATATTTTTTAAAAGGAAATACGATATAATAATTATTTAAGTATGTACGATTAGCCTGCGATTATTATAGTATCGCCGATTATCGAATATGAGTTAAATATTAGGGCAAATAATCCAAGAAACCCATACAAAACATTCATAATAAAAACGAAATAATTTAAAAATGATATAGCATAGATGCTTTTTTATTTATTTAAATTAATTTTGAATATTAAAGTTATAACTATTTTTGATTTTGACAGTTTTCAGTATGTTTTTAAATTTGAGAACCGCAGATCTAAAGAAATCTAAACCTACTTTTAAAAAAAATTTACATTTTTATATCACAATTGAATGGGTGCACTGAACAATTTAAATGCAAATATCTCGCAACGACATTTAAAAAGTAAACCTTTTTCGCGTAATAAAGATAAAAAAATAATATTTTTATAAAAAATGTGATCTTTTAAACATTGAAATTGAATTTTCCCAGACTGAAAAATCCCCAAAGTAATTTAAAAAATCAAAAACGAGTTTTTAACTTTGACATCTTGGTTATTATCAACTTTTGTATAGAAGTAAATTTAGTTACATCGCATTATTTCGGTCTCAGGAATATGTGGTATTTTTATGTATATATACCGTTTCTTTATTAATCGTAATCGTGCGAAAATTGAATTTAATCGTTATCGCTATCGTTGCATAAATAAGGGTTTAAAATTTAAAATCTGTCCATCTTTTAAAAACCTATCCCTCTAAAATAGAAATAAAAATGGATAGATGCTTTATTGCATACAACTAATCAAAACGAACTATTATTGTGCCAGAAACCAATAAAATTTTTCTGATTTAGGAGCGCCGAAAAGCAATTTGTGGCCGAAGAAGACGCAATTCAACCCGGAACCGAATGGGAAAGAATCGCAAAATTGTGCGACTTTAATCCAAAAGCGAAACAAGGCAGCAAAGACGTGTCGCGCATGCGCTCTATCATCTTGCAGATGAAGCAATCCCCCGTACCAATCAAAAACTCCGCCTAATCTTAATAATTATAAGAACAAAATAGCTAAAACTTTATTTTCTTTTTCTTCGTTCATATTTAAATCGAGCTTGTATTTATATATTATTTAAGACAATATAATTTTCTTTTACTTTGTTACATGTTACTGATTATAGTTGTATTATGTATATGATTGTACTAAGGAATTTAGGCTAAGAAATAAATATTTAGTAATATGTTTAATTGCTTGTTTAATTTATTTGGGCCAAAACATGAAATAAATACAAACATCTAAACATTGGAATTGGTCTATTTTTATTAAGACCAGCCTGAGAATAAACACCACAATATACATCTAGGATGGTTTTTGGTCTAAGAAATGAACTATTCACTAGTATTTAACAATTAAAATTTTATTTATTGCATAGCAAAAATACTCACCAATTTACACTCCATGTGAGCTGCTTCATATTTTTCATATTAATATCCTCTAATACAGACATCATGTCATCTACAAAAAAGTACGTTTTTGGAGGGAACAATTTTTTTAACAATATTTACGTCTGGATGTAGACGGATCACAGTTATAAAACAGTAATATTTCGAGTTTTGGGCAGCATTCGACTATCCGTCGTAAAGTTTCTACTTTAACGTTCGGACAATTGTCGATTTTTAATTCTATGAGATTTTGTCCGCTGTTTCCTTCCACCAAGGCTGTTATACCCTCATGGCCGACCTAATACATTTATGTTTAAATTATTATTCATTCAGTTATTAGTAAATATATGAATTACTCACCTTGGTGTTGGAAAATGATACATATTCTAAATGGTCAAGATTTTTTAACTCCTTCAAGCCAATATCGGTAATTTTGCTGGCAAAAACGTTAATAAATCTCAGTTGAAGGCAATTAGCTGCAATTATTTGAGCCACTTCATCATCCAGCGCTTCACATGAAGGTAAATGCAATTGCTGAAGATTTGGCAATTTCACAAACAGTTTTTTTAATCCTAGAATTCATAAAAATTATAAAATCAGAAATAAAGCAAAATTATTATATAAATATATAAATTTACATTTTCAATTTATAAAGGTATTAACGTAATCAAAATTTAAGAATCGTCGCTAAATATGTTTTTATTTAAATGTGTATTTTTATTAATGGCTTATTCTTTTTTCTATATATTCATAACTAACATTTTAAATATGCGGTCTGGATGGATCGATAGTTTGTAGACCGTTATGTCCATTATGAATCATAATTTATGATCGAAAATAAAATATTTGTAAAAAAAAATTAACACTTGTTTCGTTTTGGGTCTGCTTTATAACGCAAGGTAGAAAAACAAAAAAAAAATTAAAAGATGAAATTGTATAAGATTCTAGCCCTCTTGTATTTCCTGACAATTTCATGCTCATTAGGGTGATTCAAAAAATCATTTTTTTTTTACTTTTGATATATAAATATATAGAAAAACTGGTTGCTTGCATTCCCTGAAAATTTCACTAACATGCTCATTAAGGTGATTCAAAATATCTACTATTTTTTTTACTTTTGATATTGAAAAACTGGTTGCTGGAATCCTCAAAAGAAGCTTGTCTACGTATGAACTCAATATTAATATTAAGATCCTCCTCATCGCAATTTTCCATTTTTACATTAGTCTATCAAGAAAACTATATCTCACTAACAAATGAATATAAAGCTAAGCTAAACATTTTTAAAGGGATTGAATGCTCTACAAAAAGGTTTCTTTAGCTTTTTATAAATGTAAGCGTCTTAAATATAATTGCAACCAATTTTTTTTTAATATTACCTAATTTGACCGATTCGATTTTTATAAATTTGTGTTCGTATTAATTAAAATAAGCTTTCAACTAATTTCACATTTTTTTCTGAAATTTTATTTCATAATATTAAGTTTTAAAAAAGTCAGCCTCTTATATGAGAGACATTTAAAACATTTATTTGTCATATAAATAATTACATTACAACATTTATACCTACCAATAAATTATTCAGTTAAAAAAACCCTCGTCATATTAAAAGCTGGGTATCCTAACCACCAGACTATACAGGATATACAAACAAAACTTCAAAATCCTAACTATTCTGCAAATTATAAAGTTTGACCTAAAATATCTTTTAAATGGATAGGTTTGTGAAAAAACCATAGAAAATCTTTTTATAGAATATTTATTTCCCTATTAAAACATGTAGTGGGCTTAACTTTATATTAATTTATTAGTGAGATACAAAATGGTTTTGATCAGACTAATGTTAAAATGGAAAATTGCAACGTAGAAAGGTTTTTTTGAGGTGCCCAGCAACCAAATTTTCAAATAGTAGATTTTTTGAATCACCCCATTAATCATTATTATCCTCGTCATCATAAACATCCAAAATAATAAAATCACCCAACAACTCTTCTGTTATCTTTATCGCGATGTTCATAAATGTGAATACATACATCGTCGCTTCCTTAAACTCCTTAGTTTCAGAATTGATGGTATCTACCCTTCATTGGGATTTCCTCAAGCGTCTCTGTTGAGATTAATTTAATAAATATCTTGTAAACTTTGCAGTTTGACGATACAAACATAAGAACTTTTTTGTAGAGAATTAAATTTTCTACAAATTTTTCCTTTAAATTTTTTTTGTAAGACAAGCCTTGTTCATAATATTTTTAAAAATATGTGAAAAAAGAAAAAAAAAGACGAAGAAAATTGTATAGGCTTTTTTAAACAGCGTTAAATACTCTGTGAGTAACAATGAACCAGCGTTGCCAACTTAGCGACTTTGTCGCTAGATCTAGCGTTTTGAGGTAGCCATTTGAGACATTTTTTTATGATTTGCGACGTGTCTCAAACCTAGCGATTTTCACATTGTGTTGGCGACATTTTTGGAGACATTTTAACATTGATAATGAAATTTGTTTTTAAACAAAACAACAAAATAATTTCTAGTTTAAAAATTTCAAATTAAAATTTGTTACGTTGGCATGGCCAACTTGGCAACGACGCATCCGTACGTCATCCGTCAAATGTCAAACACAGACAAAATAGCCGGGCAATTGTCAAATCCCATTATTTATTTATTCTTTTATAATCTGTGTTATGAAAAATCCTAAGGGTTTTTGGCACTTTGCAGGCTTATATTAATGACGATGCAAAATCGACTGAATTTCTTGAAAATTTCGGGGAAAATTTATTAATAAACTATTTTTTTTTTAATTTTTTTATTTACCTTAAGAATTATTTATTTTTATATATTTTATTTATTTTTCTTATTTTAGAATGACTTGATTTTTTAATGATTTATGTTATGTTATTTAAATAAAATATTTGTTAACAATTATAATTATTAATTATTTTTGTGTTATGATAAGATAATGCCATTTTCTAGTGCCCTTTACTACAACCACGTTAAAATTCTTTCTTTATGAAAAATCAATTCTGTTTAAAATTTTGCAACCACTTTAAACTTTTTTTTCTTTTTTTTTTAAATTTGCGACATCTGGCGATTTTTAAGTGCCAAATAATTTAGCGATTTCTGGCGACTTTTGAAGAGCTTGGTTGAGACTTTTCACAATAGACTGTTGGCAACACTGCAATGAACCATAAAACCCGGCAAAGATATAGAAATTTAAAAAAAGTAATTGAAAATTCATGCTTTTTAAATGGGAAAAATTCAAAATGTAAAAGGAAGTTCTTGGAATCTAGATTAAGCACTCAAACTTTGAGGGAATTTTTTTTTAGATGTTTTGAACAATAATTTGGAGTTTTGGTGAAAAACAAAAAATAGTCGTTTGAAACAACCTAATAAGCATCCTTGGTGTTTTTGTTCAAACTAATAGATACTATTTTCGACTGTTCATATATTTTATTAAAACTGGTTCCTCGTGTTACGTCAAAAAACAATTTTACGTTTTATTTGTAAGCAGCCAAAACAAATGTACTAAAATTTTCTGCAATGCCTTGTAGGTATCTGTGAAAGGTAACGGTTTGCAGGACAAGTTTTAATAAGTAAAAATAAGAGATTTGAAAGTCTTACTTTCTCTTAAAAACTCTGACTTATTAAGTCAGAAAAGTCAAAATAAGTTTTAGTAAGTCAGACTAATAGCAAAATTTGTTAATAAGACTTATTAGGACTTGGCAGAGAAATGTTAGGTACCTATAGCATTTAAAATAAATATCCGGAAATGTTTTATAAAAAGAAAACTATTTTATTTCGAAAATTGGGTGAGAATTGCCAGTTTCAAGATATTTATTTTTCTTAAACATTTAATTGTTTACATCTTCGTTATATGCGTTAAATCCCTTGAATGGTATGTTTTTGGTGCTCCACAGATTCCATTTTTGTGTTCACCCCGATTATACGCTAAAAAAGCATCGGGTTTTCGCAATGCGCGCGCCATCTGGTGGCGATCGATAGCATTGTGAGAATTCAAGAATTGTCATCAATACATTTAAAGCATACGAACTGCACATCAGTTTTAATTGTACAGCTAAATCGCGCACGTTATTTGTGTTTTGCGTTGCAAGTAAAAACTGCAAGACTTTGGTTTAGTACTTGATTTCTATTTATTATTCCTTATATCCTTGATTAAGAAACTCAACGCTTATATGCTTATATAGTTACGTTAGTGTGTGTATTTTATCTAAGTGATCATGGTGAATTATTGTATTTTAATTGTAAATGTAATTCAAGAATCAAATCGTTGCATTTTCATGTTTTGCCAAAGGATACAATTCGGTGCGTATATTTGTTGGTGCGGGATTAACTAATGATAACTTTGCCTAATATAATTTATATTTAAGTTTGGACATTTTTAAGAAATCTAACAAAGAATAAAATGTAGTTGTACAAACATAACCTTAAAATCAAACAGTTTTATATTTAAGTCCTCTATAAAAGGCCGACAACTGCAATTTAAAATAGTAAACTATAAAATATATCTACGAATTTATGGCAACATAATATAATACATAATATAATACCCCTTTTTGTTTTTTTACCGTTAAGTGGAGACTTTCTCAATCAACGCTTTTAATTATGCATAAGGCTGTTTGAATTTAAACGAATTATTTGTTTTTATGATTTTTACTGAATTGAAATGTTTACAACTCTCACGTAAATCATACTAAAATGTGGCGCTACTGGCGATGCTTTTTTACACGCTTTTTTGATGAAAATTTGCAGTGATATAACAATACAACGAAATGTAATACCTTAAAAAAGTTGCCCAACACTCTATTGTTTTTTGCTAAAGTTTGCTTTAAAGGCGACAATATCTTCTGCCTTCCCAGCGGTCTTGAATTATTAATATATTTTATTTTTTTATAGAAGGTACAATAAATATTACTTCTTGGTTTTGCTAAATTGCAAGCTCACCAAAGTGGGGGCAGGTAGTGTTATAACCCTATCTGCCTTCCCCCACAAAAAACCACGTAATTAAACGTTATTCTCTAATGTTTACAAATACACTGCCCGTCAAAATTAACGCATAATAAGTAAAAAATTCTAACTCTAAAACGCCTTTACCAATCTTTATAAAATTTTGGATAAAAATGCTTTAACTTATATCTCACTTTACGTGTTCAAGGGTTTTTCGAAAAAATATCCTTAAAGCCCTTTTATTTAATATTAAAAAAACGCTCGAAAAAAAACTTTTATAGGGATTTTTTTTTAAGTAAATAAAAAATATGCTGTTAAAGGCCGTATTTTTGTTAGTCTCCCCTGAAAATTTTGCCCTTTAAAGTCGGTAAAAATGACCACTTTTCAGCAAAATAATCAAAAAGGGGTCACTTTACCGACTTTGAAGCGGCGTATCTTCGTTACTGTTCGTTTGATTTGTACAAAATTTTCAGGGTATACTAACAACAATACGGTCTTTAACAGCATATTTTTTATTTACTTAAAAAAAATTCCCTATAAAAGTATTTTTTCGAGCGTTTTTTTAATATTAAAAAAAGGGCTTTAAAAATATTTTCTCGAAAAACCCTCCAACACGTAAACTGAGATATAAGTTGTAGTATTCTTATACAAAATTTCATAAAGATTGGTAAAGGCGTTTTATAGTTAGAATTGTTTTACTTATTATGCGTTAATTTTGACGCGCAGTGTATATTTTGAAAATGTTAATTTTTTAACATATGAAAAAGAAATAAACTTTTATAGACTTATGAGTCTTATAAGATAAAAATTAATGAACACTTGAAAAAAAATTAAATTTTAATTAAAAAATTGAAATTGTAGCATATGCTTTCAACTAACGTACACATCTTTTGAAATTTTTAATTCTGCCAGATATGACATTGATAAGTTTTGGAGCAGAAACTGCTTTCACTATGGAAAATTTTAAACAAGGCAAGAAATAATTAACACTCTTTAAGGAAACATAACCTAATTAAAATATAAATAATTTTCAGGGATTGCAAAATTTTTACAGAAAAATTTGTTAAATTTCCTGACTGTAAAATTCAACAAATCCCTGAGTTTTTTACTAGTATTTAAATTCCCTGGCATTTCCCTGTTTTTCAGGTGAGTGTGAAACATGTTTTTAATGAAAAATTTAAAAACAAATAGTCTGTCCATTAATAATATTAAAAAACATACCTACTCAGTTATATATTTTATTATTATTTATATATAAAAATTATATATTATTTATATTATAAATAATACATTTTAAAAGCCCACAACATGACAATTCTTTAATAACTAAATAACTTAATTCCTTTGGTCCACCAACTTATTGTGGACAGACAGTATGTATTAGGATTTTTTTTACATAAAGTTTAATGAAATTTAACTCATGATAAGTTTGAACCTCGTCTAAATTAAAACTGAACTATACTAACTATACCAACCTTCAGCTGTAAAATCTGTATTATCAGGAAAAAATAGGTGTTTTAAATTGACACATTTTTCCATAGCCTCCAGAGAGCTATCATTAAGCTTACATGCTGCAGAATACTTCTTAAGATTTATTTTCTTAGTGCTACCATTCAGTAAGACAGGAAATATTTCTCGAAAGTTAATAACTTTTAACAGACTTTCAGAATAGGTTATTTTGTATAGAAATAAATCCTGCAAATCTGGAGGCAGGTATTCCAAACTTGTAACGTCGATTAAAGGTAAATTTCTCAATACAATATCTGCACATCTAAAGTTTAAATTAATATTATACAAAAAGGTTTATTTCTTTGACAAGCCTGTACCTTGTGACCAATGTGCTTGATTTATGTTTCCAAAAACCTCTGGAATCTGCATGGTACGCCATTAATTGATATAACTTAAAAAATCTCAAAAAAGATTTTATGTATTTATTTTAACACGTCATTTGTCTAACTTTTACGTCTTACAGACAATGTTGCCAACATCATATAACAAATATACCAACATCACAATCCACACAACATAGATCATGGCCAACATTATGCCTAATTTATAGATTGACTTCCTTCCTTCCTCCCGTAAAAGATTAAAAATACGAAAATCGTAGTGCCATTTATAGATTCCCGTACGGGATGTAGGTATAGACCTAAGGGGTATAGAAAACCAGAGACAAGGCTGTAGAAAACCTTTTATATCGTCATGAGTCGCCTAACGGGCGCGACCTTAGAAAATCGGCTAATGCGAAGTTGGCTTCTAAAATTTTGTAAATTTTGTGTGTAAACACTCACTTATTTTTGTAAATGCACAAATAAGGTATACTTTATTTTCTAAAATTTGAACATTTTATTGAGTATTGAAACCAGGGTGGAACCTTCTTCCACCCTGATTGAAACTCTTCCGTGTTTATTCCTAATAGCTACTAGCTAGTTTAGCGGAGCTAATCCCGAACTAATTCCGGACATCCTAAGCATGCGCTTTTTAAAATTTAGGGTTCAAAATGTAAAGTGCGCATGACAAATATTAAAATGCGCATGCCTAAAGTCTATTCAAATCCAAGATAAACTCGATATAAACACTATCATGCGCTGTTCATGCTCTCTTCACGTGATCGACGAAAATTGTTGCACAGGGCCGGATTAAAATGTATCGATAATTTATTTATTTAACAAACCATTTGATCTTAAAAATATTCTTACAGTCTTAATAATTTAACATTTCTAATTTATAAAATGTGAGGATTTTAAAATAGTTAAAAATATATATTTTTTAAAATTATATTTTAAATTACGAAATTAACAAAAATTGGTATTTGGTTTGGAAAAACTACCAGTGTTTACCTTTGTTAGGAATTACAAACGAAATGCATTTCGTTTGTAATTCCTAACAAAGGTAAACACTGAAGAAGGGCTTACTCCAACCTCTTCCGCAACTTTGAGTACAATCCTATTTAAAGTTATTTCCTGGTTTTCTGTTGCCTCCTTTTTAAAAACATTTAAAATAACTTTTTTTATTTCCACCTTCAAGTGATTTTTTTAGAGCGTTTTTTAACTGGACTTATGCCCTCTAAAAGTTCAGCTTCGTCTGTGTCAGATATCGCACTTAATTGAGTAAAAATAACAATAACAACCAAATAACCACAAAAACAATAACAAAAACAATAACAACAAATAACGTTATATAACAAGTAGGTACCTTACCCCATGCACCTTGACAAAAAATAAGATGTGTTATTTAACAAAATAAAAACTATATCTGAAGTCAAATAGTTTAATTGCGACGTAATTTATAACAAAATAAAAACTTTATATGAAGTCAAATAGTTTAATTGCGACGTAATTAGTTTAATTGCGACGTAATTTATAACCTTAAAATATTCGTACATTAATGTACAATTGTACCCCTGGTAAGAATTTTTCGGCACGCGTCGCAATTCATGAGTTGCAGAATCTACCAATAAGAACCGTTCTATCCACCTGCAAACGACTGATCTCGCGTTTGGCGTTTTTTGTTTTAGTCCAGCTTGGTTTTGAATAGACTTTAGGATGTCCGAACTAGTTCGGGATTAGCACCGCGAAAACACTTTAATTAATATTAGGTTTTTCGCATCACAATTGTGGCTGGCAATTTTTACACTGACACTAAGTAATTTTTTGACATTAAAGGATGTCACGTAGTTTGCTATGATTTTTTCGTTATTAAGACGTTGTTTACCAATGGGAGGTAAGTAGCTCACTTACCTCCCGTCGTCAATAGCAACCAGCCTTTCAAGATAAATTCAATTTACCTGCAATAAAACAATGTAACAAATTGTTACTAACAATAGCCATAGTGGAAGCAGATAAAACAATTTTTAAGACAGCACAAACATCCCATATTGATTTTAACAAATAATAATTTTGATATTTAATTAAACGGCCTTTTCAAGCGCGCGAAATTAAAAAACTGTTTTTATCAAAAAAAAAATTGGAAAATGTATTACCTATATAATATTTTGGCATTAAAATTGCCAAAAATATTCTTATTTTATTAGGTTACCCTGCTGAAAAAGACGGGTAATATCGGATGATTGCGGATAAAAAACCAAGCTAGTTTTATGTCCATTTATATCTGTTTTTATCAGACATCTGATTTTACCCGGCATGTCGGTTTTTATCTGCAATTGCGGGTATAAATATTATCCGCGAACGTCGGGTTTTATCTATTTAGATCTATGTCTGCTTTTATCTGTTTTCATCCGCAAATACCTGTATTTAAGTTTATATCTGCATTCACCCGGTTTTATCTGATTTTATCCGCAAACATCTACTTTAATCCGCAAACGTCTGCTTTATCCGATTTCACCTGCAAACATCTGCTTTTATACGTGAAGATCTACTTTCATCCGCGAACATCTATTTTAATCCACAAACATCTGTTTTAATCCGCAAAAGTCTGATTCATAAGATTTCACCTGCAAACATCTGCTTTTATCCGCAAACATCTGCTTTTATCCACAAACATCTGTTTTAATCTCCAAACATCCGCAAACATCTATTTTAATCTGCAAATATCTGCTTTTATCCGCAAACATCTGATTTTATCTGCAAACATCTGATTTTATCCAAAAACATCTGCTTTTATCCGCAAACATCTGCTTTTATTCGCAAACATCTGATTTTATACGCAAACATCTGATTTTATACGCAAACATCTGATTTTATCCGCAAACATCTGCTTTTATCCGCAAACATCTGATTTTATTCACAAACAACTGATTTCATTCGCAAACATCTGATTTTATCCGCAAACATCTGCTTTTATCCGCAAACATCTGTTTTAATCTCCAAACATCTGATTTTATCCGCAAACATCTGCTTTCATACGGTTTCAGCCGTAAACATGCTTTTATCTGCGAACGCCTTATTTCATCCGGTTAGTGCACCCCCGCAAACATCTGCCTTTATCCGCAAACATCTGATTTTATCCGCAAACATCTGCTTTTATTCACAAACATCTGTTTTAATCTCCAAACATCCGCAAACATCTATTTTAATCTGCAAATATCTGCTTTTATCCGCAAACATCTGATTTTATCTGCAAACATCTGATTTTATCCAAAAACATCTGCTTTTATCCGCAAACATCTGCTTTTATTCGCAAACATCTGCTTTTATCCGCAAACATCCGATTTTATCCACAAACAACTGATTTTATTCGCAAACATCTGATTTTATCCGCAAACATCTGCTTTTATCCGCAAACATCTGATTTTATCCACAAACATCTGTTTTAATCCGCAAACATCTGATTTTATCCGCAAACATCTGCTTTTATCCGCAAACATCTATTTTAATCTGCAAATATCTGCTTTTATCCGCAAACATCTGATTTTATCCGCAAACATCTGATGTTATCCGCAAACATCTGCATTTATCCGTAAAAATCTGATTTTATCCGCGAACCGCTGATTTTATCCGCAAACATCCGCTTTTATCCACAAAAATCTGCTTTTATCCGCAAACATCTGATTTTATACGCAAACATCTGATTTTATCCGCAAACATCTGCTTTTATCCGCAAATATCTGATTTTATCCACAAACAACTGATTTTATTCGCAAACATCTGATTTTATCCGCAAACATCTGCTTTTATCCGCAAACATCTGATTTTATCTACAAACATCTGTTTTAATCCGCAAATGTTTGCGGATAAAATCAGATGTTTGCGTATAAAATCAGATGTTTGCGGATAAAAGCAGATGTTTGGAGATTAAAACAGATGTTTGCGGATAAAAGCAGATGTTTGCGGATAAATTCAGATGTTTGCGAATAAAATCAGTTGTTTGTGGATAAAATCAGATGTTTGCGGATAAAAGCAGATGTTTGCGGATAAAATCAGATGTTTGCGGATAAAGGCAGATGTTTGCGGGGGTGCACTAACCGGATGAAATAAGGCGTTCGCAGATAAAAGCATGTTTACGGCTGAAACCGTATGAAAGCAGATGTTCGCGGATAAAATGAGATGTTTGCGGATAAAAGCAATTGTTTGGGGATGAAAGCAGATGTTTGCGAATAAAAGCAGATGTTCGCGGATAAAATGAGATGTTTGTGGATAAAAGTAGATGTTCGCGAATAAAAGCAGATGTTCGCGGATAAAGGCAGAAGTTTGCGGGGGTACACTTACCCGATGAAATCAGGCGTTCGCAGATAAAAGCATGTTTACGGGTAAAACCTTATGAAAGCAGATGTTCGCGGATAAAATGAGATGTTTGCGGATAAAAGCAAATGTTTGGGGATGAAAGCAGATGTTTGCGGATAAAAGCAGATGTTCGCGGATAAAATGAGACGTTTGCGGATAAAAGCAGATGTTCGCGGATGATTGCAGATGTTCGCGGATAAAATGAGATGTTCGCGGATAAAAGCAGATGTTCGCGAATGAAAGCGGATGTTTGCGGATAAAAGTAGATGTTTGCGGGTGAAAGCGGATGTTTGCGGATAAAAGTAGATGTTTGCGGGTGATTGCATATGTTCGCGGGAGATTGCAGATGTTCGCGGATAAAATGAGATGTTTGCGGATAAAAGCAGATGTTCGCGGATGATTGCAGATGTTCGCGGATAAAATGAGATGTTCGCGGATGAAAGCAGATGTTCGCGGGTGATTGCAGATGTTCACGGATAAAAGCAGATGTTTGCGGGGGTGCACTAACCGGATGAAATCAGGCGTTCGCAGATAAAAGCATGTTTGCGGGTGAAACCGTATGAAAGCAGATGTTTGCGGATAAAACCAGACGTTTGCAGATGAAAGCAGATGTTTGCGGGTGATTGCAGATGTTCGCGGGTGATTGCAGATGTTCGCGGGTGATTGCAGATGTTCGCGGATAAAAGCAGTTGTTCGCGGGTGACTGCAGATGTTCGCGGATGAAAGCAGATGTTCGCGGATAAAAGCAAATGTTGGTGGATAAAATCAGAAATTCGCGGATGAAAGCAGATGTTCGCGG